AATGCGTAGAATAATGCTGGCAAAATTAAAAAATGAACCGGGTCTAACATTACAGCAATTATCAGAAGATTGCCAGAGATGTTTAAGCATTAAGAAAGACGCAAAGAACATTGAAGAATCGCCTGTTTCTCATATACGTAAGTTAAACAAAAATCTACGTTCTGTGAAAGAAAACTAAAATTTTACGTTCCGGAAAGAAAACTAAAATTTTACGACAATGAAAAAAGATTCTCACTCTCCCCGGAAAGAAAAATAAAATATTATAAGAGAAAAACTAAAACATACAGGACAAATTATGACAAATATCGAAACAAATATAAGCCCCCTCCAGCAGCATGTTATCAATGTGGAGGATTACATTGGAACAAGTATTGTCGCTTCAGATATAAAAACTGTCATGAATGTGGAAAAAAAGGCCACAAGGCATCCCAATTTAGAAATAGAAAAGATACTAATAGAATAAGAGCTACAAGGATGCATAATGATGACAACAACAATGTAAGAAAATATGTAGAACTGGAAATTTTAAACAAAAAGATTAAATTACAATTGGATTCGGGTTCCGACCTCATGATAATCAACTTACAGACATGGAAAAAACTCAATAGACCTACGATGTTACACACTCAAAAATTGCCAAATCGGTTACAGGAAAACGAATAAAATTTGAGGGAGAAATAATAGTGAATGTTTCACGGCAAAACAAAGAAACTGAAGATATACGTCATGAGAAGATACTGAAAACTTAGTAGGTATCGACTGGATGCAGAAATTCAACGTTTGGGACCTACCGATTAACTCGTTTTGCAAAAAGTTAGAGGTTGAACAACCCGATACTATACAATTGAAGGAGGAATTATATAATCAATTTCCTGAGGTATTTTCAAGCGGGTTGGGACGATGCAACAAATTTAAGGCCAAAATAGAATTGAAAGAAAACGTCCAACCAATTTTTAGAAAAAAGCGAAATATCCCGTTTGCTACGATAGAAAAAATAGACAAAGAATTGGAGAGACTTGAACAAACTGGGATTCTATCTAAAACAGATTTTAGTGAGTGGGCTGCGCCGGTGGTTTACGTTAAAAAGAAGTCGGGAGAAATTCGTGTATGCGCAGATTTTTCGATAGGACTCAACAAGGCAATAAAGGACCACCATTACCCACTATTGAGCCCAGAGGAGATATTTACAAAGCTCAACGGCGGTAAGATATTTTCAAAAATAAATCTTAGTTTGGGACATCCCGGAAAAAACCGGATGAAATCACTCATGAGGAGTTTGGTATACTGGCCGAATATGGACGATGATATCACGCAAATGATGTAAAGTTGCAAAGGTTGTGCTGCTGCGGCGAAGGCACCACTCTCTATACAAAAGCCATGGCCTTAAGTCGACAGACCGTAGTCCAGAATACACGTGGAATACGCAGGACCAATTGAAGGTTATTATTACCTAATAACAATAGAGAGTTTTAGCAAATGGCCTGAGGTTGCCAGATTCAAGCACCCAACAACAGAAAACACCATAAATTGTTTAATTGAACTATTTGCTAGATTTGGTGTCGCAGACTGCGTAGTAAGCGATAGTGGCACACAGTTTACATCCAGCGATTTTAAAGAATTTTGCGAGATGTACCAAGTAAAACATATTAGGATAGCGCCATACCATCCCAGGTCTAATGGACAAGCCGAGGGATTTGTCGACACTTTGAAAAGAGCACTAAAAAAGCTAAGGACATACCAACGACAAAAGCTCTACAGCAATTTCTACAAGTATATAGGATAACACCCAACGCAAACACACCATCGGGTCTTTCCCCAGCAGAATTAATGTTCGCGCGGAAAGTAAGATCGGTGTTTGATAAACTATTACCGAGCAATAGCAAAAATCAATATACACCGATGGTGCCAAAGAGATCATTCAAACCTGGAGAACGGGTTTATTTTAAAAATTTTAGAAACAATATGTCGTACTGGGAGCCGGATACAGTAATCAATAGAATCGGAAATCTAATGTATACCATAAAAGGCGAAAAGTTCACACACAGAAGACATATCGACCAGCTACAGAAAAGACGAATTGAGGAACCAAGCTCGTCAACCGCAGAAGATGACGACGCTATGGATACAATCTTTGAAGCGTTTGACATACAAAGACCGCAGGAAAATACAGTAATGAGAAGGCCAAATAAGAAAGGAAAATTCGTCGAACTACTAATCATCAACCACAAGAGACAAAAATATTAACTCCCCCCCAAAAAGGGATCTAAGGAGGGGGGTATTATGGGGTCCACCCTTTTCGGATATAATGGATTCGTCCTGCTGCCATAAAATAGCTACAGTCAGACAGAGAAGATGAGTCGTACCGGAGTCATACAAGAGTCGTACAAGAGTCGAAGGGTGTCGGATAGAGTGAAGTAACCTCTTGTAGAAGTCAGTTACAAGCACGTAGACTCTAAGGAAGTCCTACTTCAAGACTGTATATATCTATCTGTATTTGCTACTAACCGTGTTCCTGGATTTTACTAACAGCATTACCTTTTGTATTTTGTGTAAATACATTTAATTTCTTAGCTTAAATACTTGCGTTTGTCATTTATTGGATACCTATTTTTCACGCGGGATCCACAACAGAAATCATTCTGGTTCAGACGGCAGTTCCTCATATAATGGGTGATTCATATTCACTCTTACCCAGATGTCAATTTTTAAAAATGTGTCTTGAATGCACAAGCTAAGAGACGGCATGAAAAAAATGTCAATAAATTAAACAATATGCGATATTATGACAATCAAGACACCTAAATATATGATAGATAAGTGCCAAATTTTTGCTCCATTTTTGTCAACTGTCTACGTTTTTTTTTTACTTAGAGATTCCGAACAAATCTGATTAAACGAAATACCACCACCTTTTATAAAACAACCTCAATGAGTCTTTCTTACATACTTAATAAAGTACCGAAAACACATTTTTATCATTGTACTTTCGTTTTAACTTTCAGAAAACCCTTCTGCACAAATACTGATGCAATTAAATAGTTGTTCAATACAAATAAATAAAAGGAGAAAAAGTCACGTTATTATACTAATGGAGCAATTGTTTCTATTCAAACAGACTGTTTTGAAGCTTTTAGTGTCAGTGTTATTCTGATGTCGCCATTAGAACACAGCGGTCAAATAGAAAGTGCGTCTGCTTACTCTGAATAATGAAAACCATTTTGCTTTTTATCAGCTCGCAAAGCCACGAGACAACCGCCCATTATGCACACTAAATTCAGTGTTTCAAATGAACAACACAAATGACCAACGGCCGGAGTATACTTTGAAAGAATTACTCAAAGTTTGTTTATTTTCCACTAAATATTTAACTCCGTTGTCAGACGTTTACAGCTTCTTGCGACTGTTTTTCATTCATAATAAAAATGATCTTTATAGTAAGTTATCATTCATAGTTTTTCATACGTTGCTATTAGTACGTGTAGTTTTTTATGAAGTGTTTGTTATTTCTTAATGAAATGATCTCGTCTGCAAATATAATTTTCAGAATCGATAAAAGCTGAATATAGAAACCATTAAACATTGAGACAGTACATTCATTTTGGTTAATTCTGGCCTTTCATTTAGTTATGGACTAATCTTGACGTCTGTTGTACATCTCAGGGTTCGTAAAATGGCGGCAGACGATATTTTTTTAATTATTTATTTCTTGAACTTCAAAAATATTTATAATATTGTTGTACAAACAACTATTATTGCTTTATGAACCTTTTTCACATTATTATATCATGAGTCTTAACGTAAGATTCACAGTTTTCTAAGTGTTATATATTAAGGCGTTTTAAGCAAAATGCTAAGCTGATAATTATGGAAACTGATCTGCAGTATTTGAATAATGTTCGAAATTTAACAATTTTTTTCTTCATTGTAATCAATCGACGAAATGTGGCCTCTTGATTTTATTTGCTCGATTAAAGAAAACATTTAATGAAAGTTTTTAAATGATATTTCCTTCCTTTTATATTTATTAATGATGTTAGTTAAAACCAAAGCCATATCACAAACATCATATCGTTCGGAACGTGAGCGACCATATCTCTCCATAATTAACAATTCTTTGTATCTATTTATTAACTATTCTTAGTAAGGATTGCCTTTAGGTCACCCCTCACATACCTCATCTAGCATTTGTTTGCACAAGCTTGTTAGGTAGCCATTTTTTTTGTTTTCGCCTGTCACTCTTGCATTCAATATATCTTCTGAGTACCAAATTATTCAAGTTCTCTTTCCATAATTGTCCCATATAACTGTCAATTATCTTTATGATTATATATATATATATATATATATATATATATATATATATATATATATATATATATATATATATATATATATATACATATATATATATATATATATATATATATATATATATATATATATATATATATATATACCTCTGAACTATTTGAGTTTCTTTTTTCCGGGTTTTCACATGAGACGTTTAGCCATCTTGACAACATGTGTAATATGAATCACTGAAAAATCCTTTGAGATATTCAGCTAAAACGGGAGCAGGATAAAATTCTTTTGTGCCTTCCAAACTGAACAATGGTGAAAAGAAAAATCGTTCAAGCCTTCAGTAATCGTACCAACCTTCATACTCTGGCCTTCATGTTCAAAATACATCCAATAACTATGAAAAGAACGGCGAATACTTTTAAAAAAGAGATAACAGCCGTGACTGGATCAGGAGGTCAAAAGCGGAAGATGAATCATCATTTCAATTTAGAGCTAAATACATTCTCATTGTTCAAAGTAGGCTCCACTAGACTTATAAAAACCTCGGAGAATTCTAGTAAGATATATTTTATCATATCTAAGATAAAACAGTTCAAACTTTAATGTAACAACAGGTCAATTTTGCTATTACACGATTTGAACAATTTTGCACCATATGTAAAAATATATAAAATTTACAGTCACTAATATTAGGAAACTTACGGCCATATCCGGTTGTAACACCGCTTCTCACAAGATCACCGAAGTTATGCAATGTCCAGCCTGTTCAGTTCCTAAATGGGTGACTGCTTAGGAATACCAGGTGCTGTAAGTTTAAATGTGTGAGTGGTGTGTTGAATGGTGTCTTGAAGTAGAATACCATCTCTTCTCCATGCATCAATCGTTGAATACAATTATTTTCTCATATCAATATATATATATATATATATATAGTTTCAAACATGTAAATATTAAAAAGATCCTTCCTCAAATCCTGCCGCTATAACCTCACACTATATGTTACCCAGTAAGAGAAACACATCATTTGAATAACTTTCACGAGTAGCAATGATAAATTTGGGTAGCACATGTACTAGATGAAATAATATAATCACGATGCTAACTTTCCAGACATCCCAAAATAGGAGTATGTAGATTCAATAGCGAGAATGCAAACAAGGAGGAGTCTTATACTTAACATCAGGAAGAGGCATCTGAAGTTTCTGGGAAACATAATGAGAAAAGAGGGCCTGGAGAATCTGACACTCACCGGTCGAATAGAGGGAAAGAAAGACAAGGGAAAACAACGCATGTCATACCTAGCAGGCTTAAGCGAGGGATGGACAGAACGTGGTCTGTGGAAGGAAGGAGAGGGAAGGAATTTGTTGAGAGCTGAAAGGGATAGAGGGAAGTGGAGAGGCATGATCGCCTACGTCCTGAAAAGACATGACACATAAAAAGAAAGAAGGTTCAATAGGATTATATAGGTTTGCTTATTTTCCGGTTAACACTCCTCCCCGGTCTTTTGAACAGGATTAGATGTCTGTTCCTTGTTTTCCTGTCTAGGATTTTGTTTCATTCTAAGGAATTTTAATTCTCTTTCACTCCCGGTAGCCCCTAGTGACATTACCACATTCCTTGAAGTGACTTGATAAAAAACAAAACAAAACAAAAACCAAATTTTGAGTGAAATTGCTCGGTAAATGATTGGCGAATATATCCTGTATGGAAACACATTTTATCGTCATCTTACCATTTAACAATCTTCATATGTCGCGCACAGAGCGTAGTTATATAGGTACATGTAATTTCCAAAATATAGAAAAATCAGCTCGAAATAGAATGGAATGGCGAATTAATCATCTAGGATCATAAAAAAATGATATAACTTCTGGCATTGATGGATGAGTTACAGATTTATTCCAGTAAGCTCGTGTCTTGAACAATTGAGAGATAATGGTCTCAAAATCAAATAATGTTCATGAGAAGGAAATGAAACAATAATTCTAAATAATATGGCTTTTTACGCCTGCCATCATAATACAGATGTCCTTAGAAATAACTCTTTCTCATTGGAAATATCCATCGACTTTGGAAATTTAAACCTGAAATGAAAATAGCCAAATATGCACACTTATTCATGAAGTATCCGCTCACTATTAATCATATCTGCATAATGGAGTGTAATTATTGTGCTGTTCGGAAAGTTAATGCCGACTTTTAAGGGAAATTAAAAGACAAAATAAAATTATGCCATTAAATACGAACCATTTTGTTGTACAAATTCTGCAATTCCTGTTTGTGGTCATGGTAACTTCGGTTTTTTCTTATTTCGCATATCATGCGTCTGTCTGTATTATCACTCCGGGCACGGGGAATTGTGTTTGCAGTTTTCACCGACGACTGTCTTAGGAACAATCTCGGACTTCTTCGTGTCGACTTCTCCTGGGTTCGTCTTCTCCTGTGTGTGTTTATTTTCGATCGTGTTACAGGAAATGTGATCGGAGCAAATCTCTGGCAATCTTTATTGTTGGACCCAATTCTTTGCCTTTATATCTGTTGGGTCGCTGTCATTTACATAGATTAACTCCCCAAATAAAAATCGACATCGATATGTTTAATTTCTCCACCGCGACCGTCTTAATCATGGGAGATGTCGTTATTTAATGTTTAGGTTCCCCTTAGTTATATTTCTTTAAAGATAATTTTGTTCTTGGGTGATCAATATAAACAAATCCCCAGTTTAGGTATAAATAAAGTTCAAAATAATTTTTTGTCTAAAATAATTTGTAAGAGTACAAAATGTTGGAACGAGAGTACAATGTAAACAAATTCCAACCCTGAGACATAAAAAAAAAAACAGAAGCCGCTTTCTTGTCTACAATTTGGAACATTTATTTTATGTATGACTGCACATGTTTTGGACAGATAGCATAATGTAAACCAACTTCTGAATTTGGAGGAAATTCAGACAATCCGGTTTCTTTTTGACGAGAAGAGTATAAAATGGGAAAATTTGGCGTTCGTTATATCTTAAGGGACTGCCATATTTGTAACATAAGGGATGGGCATCTCTACGAGGTAGAATTATAGCTGGTTTTATTCCGGTTGGTATATCGTGGTCAATATGTATGGTGATATCTCAGGGTACCTTAAAATATCTCTTCTACTATCTCTGGTGTTGGCATAATTCATATCTTTTTTTTTACACTGGGAAAAATTTTATGTTGGTTTCTTATATATATATATATTATGATGTTTATATTTCGATTTAATTCTGGGAAGATATATTGATATTAGATGGTCAGTAATTTCGCCATCGTTTTCAGTAACGCAATATTTTGGATATACCCTATTCATTACATAATTTTTTTGAAGGATAGTGTAGGCAGGCTATGATCCTAGCATCTACGAGATCAGTAACTATTGATTCGTTATATTCTTTTAAACATCTACGGTTTTGTACTCGCAATGGTTATCGGCCATGTATGTTTATTTCCCTCATTTAGTTTTCAATAAGCGATTTCTGCTTTTTTCATGCCTGCATATAACGGCTCTGATCAGTCAATCAAGCGTATATTAATATTTCAGCAAATAACAATATGCCTCGTTTGCAATAAATAGCACATAGATTTAATTATGGAATTTGTTAAAATAACTTTCTGGTTTATAGTGAAAATTACGTCATATAGTCCCACATTTAATATATAATATTTTCATTGCGGTATTATTTTTTTCATAGCAAATATACTTCATGTACAAGATCTTAAACTTGCCAATATTGAAGTATAATTTTATGGTAAGGGACATGTACGCATTATATTGTATATAATTATTATCATGATTTTTCACAGAACAGTGATCAATATGGCACCCTTATTTTATTAAGATGTTAAGATTGCTCAATACTATGCTTTCATTAGTAGTGTATCATTTCCTTGAGGTTTGGAAAAAAGTTGTTACTTTTTTCGTAGGTCTCGTATCATGGAAGCTACACCATTTTAAGTAGCGTTAAGCTTAAAAAGACTCATATAGGGGCAATGTAAGATCTGAAGTGATAATATTCAAACTTCTAAGTAAGAGCCATTCTATCATATTAATATTAGTGTACGGTGCCTTCTCATTGTATTTGAACATTAGCTTTCGTTTTGGCACTAAAAACATGGCTAAAAGGTTTACTAAAACACTGATGACGGTTCTGATTTTAAGGGGAAGTTGACACAATGATAGATGACCAGACGCCAAGGAATTTCCGGGAACAGTGCTTAAATCACCCAAAAGAATGAAAGTGTTTTCAGTGCCAAGAAAATCGGAAAACTACAAATATTAGATAAGAGAGATAAATAAAGGTTGTCAGAGTCTCGTTAGGCAATACAAAATTAAGTGAGAAATGGATGCACTCTTAACGTTGAGGTTCCAGCTTATACAGTACGTAGAATGTGCGTATACACACCATAAAAACACAAACACAAAATCATCGGAAGTGGTCAAAAGAATCTCAAACATGGGAACCTGGAAAGTGGCAAAAAGTATATCTTCATGATGAAATTTAGATTCTAATGCAAAAGAATATCTAAGAAAACCACGGTGAGAAAGAAACAATGGAAAATAAATCACAAATACTGTAAAATTCGATTCTGGACACGTAATGGTTTGGGATCGCATCAAAATTTGTTGCAGAAGAAAATTGGTAAAAGTTGATGGAACTGTTAAAAGCGAAAATTATATTAGCTTAATACGGTCAAATATTCTGCTAGATTACGAAAATGGAAACCTTCTCAACATTAACGTGTTGCTTGCTAAACATGATATGCAAGGAAAGGTTCCTTATAGATGAAGACATTAAACTTTTGGAAGACTGGCCAGAAAAAAGTCCTGATCTCAATAAAATTGAATCATCGTTGTGATAACTGTAGAAACACTTGCTACAAACGAAAACCACACAATTTCGCAGATAATTGCGATTACAACCTAGCAGATTGTGAAAAAAATGTCGTTATGAAAATATCTCGGACCTTCTTTCCATTCAACATTTTGACATCAGATTAAGGCAATTATTTGAGCCAGAGGCAGTAATGCTAAATACTAACTACATGCATATATGTTCTGTTGTTTCTGTAATGATAACGTTCAGTTTTTTTTACAAAAAAAAAGTTTTTAACTTAAGCAGAAATACTGAAAAGTACATTTGCGTTGGTGGCCATTAATTTTGCATAGATTTTTTTTTTTTTTTTTTTTTACCATTACGTGATTTAAGAGGCTCTATCGTCCACCAATGCTGCATTAATGGAAATGCAGTGCTGGGCTTCTAAGATGATACAATGTACTGAGAAATATATAATGATAACCATTATGAATTAAAATATGAGTTAAACAAAAATAATTTATATTTACAAAAAAGTTTGTAAGACAAATATTGAATAGATCTATTCATTCATGCATAAAAATGCAATATTTTGCGTCTAAATATTTCTGAGATTTATATTTTGATGATGAATTGTCAACTGATATATAATCATTAGACATATTTTATGAATTTGAATTATACATTATATTATGTCGAAAATTTAGCTCAGTTGATGTATATAATAATTGAATAAAGGGGATATTAAATTATATTATTTGGTAATATTTCATTTTATAAAGAATACTTTATGAAAATGCTATTTAACTAAACGAGAACAAATTGAAATAGGAACAAATCATTGACAGATGCTTATTATATTTTTTAAAACGAGTCTTTTATTTAGTGATATCGATTTCGAAAAATCCAATTCTATATTACCAAAACTATATATTTTTCTTCTAAATTTGGTCTCCGTTCAAGACATAT